GCTTCGACTGGACTTATATCGAGATATGAAGATAGTGGGCACCCAGTTAGTGACTTTTGCCATTATTGCATAACGAACACTAGAAGCAGAGAATCGTATTGCTGGAGCACGGCAGCGACATCACTCTAATTTCCTTAAACGACCTCATTGGCAGAGAGGAAACAATTCAAATAATTGAAAGAGAGGACCTCATTTTAGACAAGGGCCTAGAAATAATGTCCGACCTCCAAATAATAATCATGAGAAGAGGCCACATCCCGACGGTCAACCCGTTGGTAGTCCGATATGCCCTAAGTGTAACAAAATTCACACTGGCTCATGTATTACTTGCTATAATTACAGTAAACAAGGACATATATCACGTGTATGCATGGAGAAAATCAAGGATAATGAAATCGTGCTATTGCTAGGGTTTACGCACTGAATTAAAGTACATCAAGCGACACTCCAGCAGTTATTGCTGGTAAGCTTCCTTTTGCTAGAACTTTTGCTCATACTTTATTTGATTCTGGATCTTTCCACTCTTTTATATCTATTAGCATGGCTAGAAGGACTCATTTGCTAACTGATAGGTTGAAGTTTGAGTTAGAGGTACTTATTCCATCTGGCCAAACATTACGAACTAAAGAAATAATAATTAATTGTGAGGTGATTATCAACACTTATTCTCTTCTTGCAAACCTTATTCTTCTGGATATGAAAGACTATAATGTCATTTTGGATATGGATTGGCTATCAAAGTATCGAGCCAATCTAGATTGTTCAAGGAAAGTCGTTACTTTTCGTTTATCAAATGGTGAATTAGTAACCTTCCAAGGAATGGTCAAACGTTTATCTACTTTGCTAGTATCAGCTATTAGAGCATGGAAGAGGATACGACATGGTGGTGAAGCTTATTTGGTCCATGTTTATAACACTGAAATCAAACCAGGAATTTCTTTAGATAAAATTCCAATAGTTCGAGAATTTCTTGATGTTTTCCCTGAAAAGTTGTCTGGACTACCTCCTGATCGAGAAATTGATTTTGCCATTGCTCTAATTCATGGTACTCGTCCTATATCAAAAACCCCATGGCACCTGCAGAGCTTAAAGAGCTGAAACTGCAATTACAGGA